AGCCTAAATTTATATACAATATTAATTTTAAGCTCTAAAATCTCTTGAAATTTTGTAAGAATTAATATATTTTCTTACATATAAAAATGACTAAGAGTGAAATATGATTTTGTAAAATATATTTACTTTGCACAAACAACCGAATTTCCTCTAAAGAAAAATTTTCAGTTTTGAAATATAATAGAGATTTCGGCTGGAATAAAACGTCCCCATTCCCCAGCTTTCAATTATACAAAATTTAATAAATAAATCAATATCATTAAATAGTGAGATAAATAATTTGTTTTTTTTTTATGCCATAACACTATTCAAATTAAATAAAAACTTATGGGCGTATCAAAGACATTTTGAATTATTTTAATGAATTTAGGCTTCATTTGAAAAAAAAAATATTCGTATTGTTTTCTAAAGCAGCTTTTAGTACACGGATTTCTTAAAAGCAGATAGTGACCAAAAACTATCCCAAAGGAAGCCTTAGGCTTCGTTTGGAATAACTTTCTTTCTGCTTTAAGAAGCAGTAAGAAAGTCATCCCAAACGAAGCCTTAATCTAAATAATTATGATGAATTAGTTTTTTTAGTGAGGGTGGTAAAAATTAGTTATTTCTTCAATAAATTTAATCCTTGAGATTATGATCAAATTAGATCATCAAATTATTCTTAGATTCTCAATTAATCTTAAATATATTGATCATATATTTTGAAACTTGTAACAAAAAAAAAAAATGTAGTGAACAAAGAGTTGCTACATAAGCAAATCATAAACTATTCATTATCACAAAGTAAAAAAGTTCATCTAAGGTTTTGTTTGGATAACTTTTTTACTAATTTTAAAAATAATTTTTTAGTGAAAAATTTATTGAATTAAAATTTATTGTAAAAAAAAATGATTTAAAAATAATAAAATAGCTATATCAAATTAAGCCTAAATAGCTAGTCTCTAAGCTGAAGTTGCTAGAATAGCCCTAAAATGAAAGTCATCATGACACATGAAGAACCCGAACCCGACCCGTTTTGAAACCGGGTCGGGTCCAACCCGGATTTTTCGGGTCGGGTCCAGGTCGAATTTTCGTGTCGTGTCAAATATTGACACCCCTAGATAAAGCCAAGAGAACTAGGTATTTATCTCACTAGTGGAGCTCATAGTAGAACTTGCTAGAGAGTTCACCAAAAAAAAATTCTTTATCTAATAATCTTATGCTTGATTTTTTAGACTTAGGCTTCTTTTTTTATTGATTTTTTAGTATAAAAATTTTAATTTTTATATTAAAAAAATGCTTTAATAATTAATAAGAAAGTCGTTCTGAACGAAACCTTATTAATATGTAATAAAATAATGAAATATGCATAATTGTATGTATGAGATTTTAAGAGAAAAAAATTTAAATAATATATGGCTCTCAATGATCCCTCCATCACATAATTGTAATCCCTATCATCCACTATAATGCTTGGTATTATAAAAATTAAATATTGGGTGCCCAAATTGAGCCAAATATGATCCATTTGGATCCATCAATTCAAAATTTTAAATTAATGGAAAAGAGCTACTACTAATCTATCTTTGAATGCCATGTAGTGATGCATTAATGCACTATTGCTACACATAAAGATGAGCTTGAGTAGAAAAGGGTTTTTAATCTTTCATGCATACTTCAAGCATGTGAAAACTATGTAGCATCACCAGTAATAATGGAAGTTTAATATATGAATCTTGTTGATAATTCGGCCCTCAAATATATTAATTCAAAACTAAGAAACACCCACAACCTTACAAAGTAAGGCTTCGTTTGGGATGGTTTTCTGACTGCTTCTTAAAGCAGTTTTCTAGTACAAAAAATAAAAATATTCTACAAGAACCTGCTTTAAGAAGCAGTAAGAAAGCCGCCACAAACGAAGCCTAAATTGGGTGTAAAAAACTTAAATGTATGCTAATCGAAGATGCTTAGTGCTCAAGTATTATCTATAGATGTTGCAAAATGTCTTGTTAGGCCAACCTTAGTTGGTCCCTTCATATGTTTGAGAGATGAATTATCAACAAGATTCATGAAAATTCCATTATCAATGATGATTTTACGTAGTTTTACCGACCTTAGTTGAACTATCTTGGAAAGCAAAGTAACTAAAAAGTTATCTTAATTAATCTTACAATTCATTTGGTTAATTGAAATTAGAAAACTCATTATGGGATAACAATTTTTATTAAAAAAATGGATTTAGTTTGTATGGTGTTTAATTTTAATTTAAAAATTAAATAGATAATTAAAACTTCTCAAATGTAATGATTCAATATTTCACTAATAACATAGATGAAAATAGAATCATCAAATTTTAAAATAAATTTCCTTGCTGCAATCAATCAAAGTAAAGAACTAAGTCGTTAAGAGTTTTGCTTTTTGATTAAGCAGAATAACTAATCTTATCAAAGCAACCTCATTCTTAATCTCCCTAGTTTATTACAAGTGTATGTACGTATTTCGTTATTAAAAAATAATATAGGTTTCTAAGTTATTATCTTTAAAATTCAGTAAGAAAACTTAGTAGAATATTAGTTTTGATGTTCAAGATGATGATCTAATTAGGTAATATTTTTTTTATAGAAACTATTTAAAAATTATTTTCTTAGTTTTGATGGATAAGAGTTAAATATCAAAACCTAAATGGAGTAGTGATTATATTAATGGTGTTGAGAATTTTTTAGAATTTACAACTCAAAGTCAAAGTTTAGTACAAAAAGTTCTATGTCCATGCAAATTATGCATTAACAAATATTTTCATTATGTAAAAGATGTCAAGTTGCATTTACTCTCTAAATGATTTTTTCCTAGATATGCTGTTTGGAACCAATATGGAAATGAACATGCTTTTGCAGCTGAAGGTACAAGATCAGAAATATTTAGTGATACTTATAATGTTAACAAAGTATAAAATGAAGGCGAGCAACCCAAAACAAATGATATAAAATGATTGATAAGGGACACATTCTGTTCAAGCAAGCAATGTCAATTTAGATGATGAACATAATCCAAGCAATGCCAATTTAGATGATGAATATAATAAGAACAATATATATATATATGACAAACGATGATGCGATAAAATTTGGTAATTTATTATTGGAAGAAGGAGCATAATTATACCCTGATTGTAAGTCATTCACGAATTTATTCTTAACCTTACATTTATTTGGCCTAAAGTGCTTACTCTCTTGGTCCGTAAGATGTTTTGATAAATTTATTGAGTTATTGATTGAAGATTTTCCTAATGGTTCATTGTTACCTAAGAATATATACAAAGTGAAGAAGATAATGAAAGTGTTTGATATTGGATATATAAAGATAGATGTATGTCTAAATGATTGTTGTATATTTTGGAAAGATGTATCTAATCAAGAGTTATGTCATATTTGTGGTTGGTGGACAAGTGCGAAAAAAAGTCCAAATAGAGGAAAGAAAAATCAAATGAAAGGTACAAAGGTTGTTCAATACTTCCCATTGATTCTTAGGCTTCAAAGATTGTTTAAAATAAAAAAAGTGTGCTGAAGAGATTATTTGGCATGCCAAACAAAAAAATATAAATGGGTTGTTATGGCATCCAACTGATGGAGTAGCCTGGAAATCCTTTGAGTCAAGATACCCTAATTTTGCTTCAGATCCACATAATGTTCGCCACGTATTAGTAAGTGACAGTATTAATCCATTTAAGAGTATGAGTAATACATACAGCATTTAGTCCATATTTTTGGTTGCATACAACATTCCTCCTTGGATTGCAATGAAACAAACATCTTTCATTATGTCTACTATTATATCATGGGAGAAGAGTCCATGAAATAATATTGATGTTTATCTCCAACAGCTAATAAATGAGTTGTATGAATTATTGCATGGGGTGATATCCTACGATGCATCCTCTGGACAATCATTTAACTATGAGCTACATTAATGTGGACGACCAATAATTTTTTGGCTTATGGTATGCTTTTGATTGGAGCACCAAAGGCAGCTTCGTTTGTCCTTGTTGTGCCAAAAATACAGAGTCTTTATGGCAATATAGAGGGAAGAAATTCTTGTATATGGGTCATCGCCATTGATTACCAGAGAATCACTTATTTCATCGATAGAAATAATACTTTGATAACACAAAGAAGATCCGTAAAGCACCTAGAAGGAAACTATTAGTGACATTTTACGACAATTAATTGTGATAATCTTTAATTTGGACTTTGTACTGGCTGAACATCAAATTTGGAAGAAAAAATTAATTTTCTTTATGCTACCTTAATTGGGAGTATAATTTACAACCACACAATCTTGAAGTCATGCATATTAAAAAAAAATGTATATGATAATTTCATTGACACTTTACTTGATCTTGAGAAATGTAAAGATGGCGGACATTCAAATTCAGAGTGAGTTGCATCAACAAATTCTTGAAAATGATTCTTATTTTTTTCCCACGGTTTGCTTCACAATGTCAGAAAAGGAGAAAAGGAGAAATTGATGTTATGTCAAGTTTTAAAAAATATGAAAATGGCTAAAAGTTATGCATATAATATTTCAAGGTGTGTTAATATTACAGAATGTAAGATTACGAGCATAAAAAGTCATGACTATCATGTGCTTATTAAATATATTCTACCAATTATTTTGATGTCATGTTATCCATTTGATGAAATTCTATATATTATTGCGAAGATATCAAAATTCTTGAAGTCAATTTGTGCTAATGTTATCAATCCGATCGAGTTGGATATGGCACAGAAGAATCTTGCAATAACATTATGTAAAATGGAAAAATCAATACTCCTATCCTTCTTCACAATCATGGTTCATCTACATATTCATCAACTCTTAAGTATTTATTTAAAATCTTAAACTTGAATATTCATGAAACAACTATTAGGATAATTTACTCTCATAAAAATTTTATTTTTTTGCCTTTCTTCCTATATGATCTTTTAAAATCAAGTGTGTTACAGTGTTGATCATACTCTACAATATAAAAATTATTAACGAATTATATTTCATTAATATTTCTAATTAATAACTTAACTACTTATCATAAGGATAAAAATAAAAGAATATTACATGTTCGTGTACCGAGTTGAATTCTTTCATCTACGGAACTTAGAACCTGTTTAAACACGACTGAGAATCACCAGTTCTCAAGCCATCAATCAATATGAACATGAACTGTTTAGCTGATGAACCTCCGAATCCATCAGCTTAAGCTTCACTAAGCCCAGACGGCGAGAGAAGACATGGAAGCAGCGCCGAGGAAAAGCGCGACGTAGGAGGCGACCTGCATCCGGAAATTGCAGCTCATCCGGCGGCTTAGAAAGTCGGCTGCGATGAGATCGACGAGCGCCATGTAGATGAGTATGCCGGCGGACACAGAATCCAGTACGCCTTCGACCACGAGCGCACGCGGGCTTCTGCTGTTGTATTGCCTCGCCAGCGCCGTACCAACACCGACTCCCGCCGGCGTCGTTATCGCGAAGAAGGACGCCATCAACGCGGCCGCCGAGTTCTTGAACTGCGCCTGCACCACACCGCATGCGTCAACCTCAATGGATCCGAGAATTATCAGTTCTCGTTAATTAAAGAAGTTACGGCTGATATTAGAAAACAGCTAAATTTGACAAATTCTATGGACGAAACAACGAAAAATGACAAATTTTATCTAAAAACGATGCAATATCAGTCCGCATAAATTATAGAAGCTATGGTTGATGTTAGAGAACAACTGAATATGACGAGTTCTATCGATCAAACGGCTCAGACTCTTCAACCGAAAGGCTAAAAACTCATTAATTTCACGATTACTAATCATTTCCACAGCTGTAAACAATCCGAGAATATCAAAAGAAAAAAAAAAGCTCGAATTTTATCAGAAACAATCATGAAAGTTTCAAGCTTACTCCAAAATTCTGGTTACCGTCGCATAAATCTTCCAATCGAAAAGATCATAGCATAGTAAAAATGCCCAAAATCACTAAACTTTTACAGTTATTTCAAAAGGAACGAAATAAAGAAATTTTACCGTATTTAAAATCATGAAATTTCTCAACTAAAAATACTGCAAACAAATAATAATTTCACTTAACAATAAGAAATAAGAACAAAATCAAGCTTTAAAACTAAATGGAAAACGAATCAAAGTAATGAAAAAGTCCTAATTTACGCACCTGCGATATACACCCGCCCAACGCGAACCCCTCGAAGAACTGGTGGAAAGAGAGCGCAGCGATCAATGGCCGGATTGTGCACGGGCTCTGCGATACGCCCAGCGATAACCCGATAATAACGGAGTGCGAGACAATCCCCAGCTCCAAAATCTAAGCACAAATCTTTATCACTTAGTTATCAGATTCTTCAAAACGAACGGAGATTAGCGCCATGAAGCGGTGTATAACAGTACCTGCGAGACGACTACGTGCCTCACGTGCGAAGAGACTTGGCCCTCGTCGTCGTGGGCATGCGCATGCCCGTGCGGGTGAGAGTGTGTATGACTATGAGACGCTGCGTGCGCGTGGATTCCGACGATGTGCATAGGATCCTCGCCGTCACCGACCTCCTCGTCAAACTCCGGCGCCGCTGCAATGATCGAATCCGACGAGGTCGCAGCAGCTGCGGCGGCGGAAGCGGCCGCTTTCAGACCCATCTGCTCCTCACGATGCTTTCGCTCATACATCTGCGTGCTCGCGAAATCCACGACGAGGGTTCCAAGCGCAGCGAGCATTGCAAAGAAGCCTGAGAAGGGAAATCGCTGCCATGGGGATTCCGGAAGGCAGGGATCGGTAAGAGCAGTCTGTGCGTCGTGAAGCATATGGACGAATCCAGTCGCGAGGATAACCCCCGCGGCGAACGCCTTTGCCAACACGAAGAGGCTTCCATCCGTTCGAAGAATCCGCCGCTTCCGCCCCACAAGAGGAATCGCAACGCCACCAACGCCGGCTACCAGTATTGCTCCGACCGCCATCATCTTAAGCCGGAAAGCGGCCGCATCATCTCGGCATGCATCGCCGACTTTGCCGTGGCCGTTGGAACAGCTCGAAGCCGATAGCGACGCCGTTGCTTGCTGAATTAAGGTTTCTAATACATCATAAAAGAAAGAGAGACCAAAAAGAAACCACAAATCACAATCTTTAACTAAAACTAAATGGAATATTATCAATTTCTTGAGCTTTACCTGAATACATACGGGATTTGTGGCGTATACCGCTGAGCAGGAACAGGGGCTCAGGCTCCTGGATACAGATTGGAAAATTAGGTTTACAACTCAGATTAGAAAAACCTAAGCTTTCGATTCAAAACAGAACCCTACCTCGAGAAAAGACATCAATCTGAGCTTTCTGCTATCCGTAAATCGGTAGCCTCGTTATTGATTACAAGCGATTACTCTCCGAGTCTCGAGGAGGACGAAGATGCAAGGTGAAGCGTGACGGTATTATTAATTCTTCTATCTGCCTTTCTATCAAGAGAATGTCGACATCCGCGCGCATGAGAAGTAAAAGAACCTCATTGTAATTGTAGCGAAGAGGAAGGCGGAGAACCCTCCTCTCGAAGAGATTCTTCCCTGCTTTGTTTGGCCACCTCGTGGCGCATGGGATGCCGTTTGTTTTATAATCGAACGGTCAGAATGGAAGGAAGAGAATCGAGGCCATGGTTTAAGAGAATTTAGAGGAGAGGCCCGTTGGTTTGCACACGTGGCGGGATCTCCTCGCGGATGGACTAGGTGTTGAGAGAATGTCGACATAATGACGATGGCGGGATCCGGTGTTGCCACTTTGTGGGCTGACTGACATATTTAATAAATAATTGCTTGCTGTATGGATCACTTATCATCGTCTGTTACATCATTTTAATAGATCACGAAGTACAATGAACGGTGATCCATGGTGATGGACGGATATTTTAACGTTATGTACGATGAGAAATTTCTTAAAAAAAATTTATTTGTCTTAGTTCAAGTAAGCTAAGGGAAAGGAAAAAGTCTCCATTTATATATATAGTCATAAAATTTTTAAAATATTCTTCATATTATTTATGTATACCAAATTTAATTTTAGAGTATTATATTGCGCAATTTAATTTATCGAGTATATAAATTTAATTTAAAATAATCTCTTATCTTATAATTATAATATAAAATTGATTTCAATTTAATCTCTTGACTTTATAAAATTAATCATAACTTAATTCCAAAAAGATCAATTTTGTATAAATAAGAGGGTACAGCTTTGTTTGGGAGGCTTTTTTATTACTTCTTAAAACAGCTTTTTAGTACATAAATTTTAATGATTGTGCTAGAAAACTGTTTTAAGAATCAATAAGAAAGCCTTCTCAAACAAAATATGAGACTTCGTTTGAGACGGCTTAATTATTAAATTTTAAAACAAGTTTCTAGTATAAAAAATTTAATTTTTATACTAGAAAATTATTTTAAGAAGCAATAAAAATGCTGTCCTAAACGAAAGACTTCGTTTGAAATAGCTTTCTCATTGTTTTCTAAAATAATAAAAAATTTCTAATTCAATAAAAAATTTTAACTAAAAGATTATTTTAGAAAGCATTAAAAAAGTTGTCTCAAACAAAATCTAAATTAAATCAATGTTATATTGTAAAACTAAAATGATCATATATGAATAACTGAAAAAGTAGTTTAAAATATATATGTTGCATATTATCATTCATTTTAATGAAAAAGAAATTTAATGTCTCATTTAATGAAATATTTATATTATAAAAATTATGCTTAAATCATTTTAAGAATAATTAGTTTTCTCAAAATATATTACTCTTCTTGTATCATAACTTAAAAGAATAAATTGGGATAGAATATTTTAATCTAATTTTTATTAAGATGAGCACTTTTTTTTATTTTAAATTGAATCTAAATTTTTAACAACGAAAGAGTTCTTATATTATATTCATCTCATAATAAATTAAAAAAAAAAAATCTTTATTAAAATTTGATAACTATTTTCTCATTTTTTTTTTCTTAGATATGAGTATTAAGTACCATCTCTCTTAATGTTAAGGGCATCAAGAAATTCCCTTTTGATGTATCATAGCCGTTTTAGGGAATATTAGATTAGATATATTAAAATGTCACTAGCTACCATGATACCTCTAGTGGCTCTTTTTATGGAGTAATTAATTATTCCGACAGGTTACCGAAATGCATCAGAAATCAATAACAAAATGTCACGTCACTAAAGTGCTCAGTACCGTGATCGGTACAACGCGCTCGGTACACTCGGTATGCTCGGTATTTTCACCGGATGTAATAATTTTTCCCTTCATGTTACTAGAAGTTTCTCACTTTATCTTCACCATAGTGAATTGTGCCATTTTAGTTGATGCCAAATTGAAGTATAGAGTAGAAGAATTTTAGGAACTTGGATGATAAGTAGGCTGATGAATTTAGAGGTAGCTTTGGTTGTAATCTCTCTTTCATATACTTATAATTCTTGTGAGACTTGTCTTTTTTGTGTTCCAATAAGAGTATAAAATCATTTCTTTATTAAAAAAGGCTCATGAGCAATGGTTCATCAAACTTGTTGATGTTCTTTTTGAGTTATGAAAGATTTAGGCTTCGTTTGGGACGGCTTTTTTATTTCTTTCTAAAATGGAGTTTTAGTACAAAATTTTTTAATTTTGTACTAAAATTCCGTTTTAGAAAGCAATAAAAAAGCCGTCCCAAACGAAGCCTTATTCTCTTGTTTTTTTTTTACCTTCTCAAAAAGATGAGAAAATTGGCGAATTAGGCTTCATTTGAAATGACTTTCTTATTGGTTCTTAAAATAGCTTTTTAGTACAAAAAATTTAATTTTTGTACTAAAAATCTACTTTAAGAAGCAGTAAGATAATCAAAGCCTTAGGCTACGTTTGAGACAGCTTTGTTTCTGCTTCTTAAAGCGGTTTTTAGTATAAAATTTTTTAGTTTTTTAGTATAATGCAGCTTTAAGAAGCAGTAAAAAAGCTGTCTCAAACAAAGCCTTAGTGTGCCAGCTTGATAGTTGTCAGGATCAAGTTAATTAAGACAGATTACAAATGCCACTCACTTAACATTTTAATAACAATTGCTAGAACAACTTGAAAATGAAACTGACTAGTCCAAGAGGTCTCTCACGCAAAAGAATTTGTCTAATGAAACACAATTTCATTTTAAAATTTTATAAAATTTATGAAGCACTTTATAGATATTAGTCGATAAGAATTACTCATTTACAATAATTATTATCAAAATTTTCAACGCAAGTTTTCTTATGTATCTTAATAGTAGCATGTCTTTTAGGCTTCGTTTGGAACAACTTTCTTACTGCTTCATAAAGCAACTTTTTAGTACAAAAAATATTTTTTATACTAAAAAGCTGCTTTACGAAGCAGAAAAAAAGTCGACCCAAACAAAACTTTAGTGTTAATTCTTGACCTAAACCAATTAAGGCGGTTGGGGTCCAAAAATAAGCTCAAAGAATATTTTGATGGACTTTGTGCTCCATCAATTTAGTAATTTCTAGCACAAAAATGTCATAAGATTTCCAAAGCTCATCTCTCTGGGTCTTTCTTTCTCTCTCAATTTTTCTCTTCAAGCTTATATTATGTTGTTAGTAAGGCTCTAATCACCTACGAACAATTTTTTATCTAT